CCCTCTCTGACCTGACCTCCCCATCTCAGATTCTGGCACCTCTGTCTTGTTGCTCAGCCCTGAAGCCTGAGTTGTAGATCTGTTTATTCTTTCTGGTCCTCCACCTCAGTCCATTAGCACACCTAGTCCCCAAATCTAACCCACCACCTGCTGCCTTAGGTTGTCGCAGAAGCGTCCTCAGCCTCTCCCAGCTCACACACTGTTCCGTCCTCTACGCACACCTAAATAAATAGCCAGAGTGAGGGCTGAAGACCTCAGAGTGTTGCTTCATCCCTGTAAGGCTCTGGCAGCTTCCCATCCAGTTACAGTATAATTCTTCAGCTTCCTTGAGCTGGCCACTTTGTGTGGCTTACACATCAGGGGCCTTTGTGTGGTCCCCTTCCCTCAGCCAGGGGTTCTCCTGCATGTTCATATATTGACTCCTGCTGTTACTCAGGTCCCACTTCCTGAGGCTCTGCCAGCACTAAAGCTGCCCCTCCACCCTCGTTATTCTGTCCTTGTTTTCTTCATAGCACTTAGCACCATCAAGATAAAGAATCGGGGGCTGGAGAGATGGCTCAGTGGTTAAGAGCACTGGCTGCTCTGTACCCTCTTTGGGCCTCCTTGGGATTTGCACGATACAGGTACATTTACATACATGAGGGCAAAAGTTTCATATAGATAAAATAAAATAATTTTTTTTTTAAGAAATAGGATTGCCCATGGTTTGCTACACACTGTCTCGCATGAGGGCCTCAGTTCCACAGGACCAGGATACAGGCTGTCTCATTCAATGCCCTGCCCCAGCACTCACCTAACACAGTGTGGCACATAATGTACACACTGAATGCTGGCTATGTAAATGGAGAAGGACTTGCTGCCTGTGAGGTGGCTCACCCACCTCATTGTCTGAATATTCTGCTAGGGAGCTTTGAAGCAGGATTGTCATTCCACACAAAGTTCAGAATGGATGGTCTGCCCCTGACACATGCTCCATCAGAGCAGCCAGACTGCGCTCTGGTGGTTCTGCATGTGACCTGTCTCCAGAACACTGCTGAAGACCCCAGTGGCCATGGACCCTTCAGAGGACCCCACCTAAGAACAGGCTACAGGCTGCAGAGCCCAGGACAAGGGACTGGGAAGCCAGGCTCCTGCTGGCTCGGTTACTGCCCAGCAGCAGAGCCTCTGCACTCTGGGTTCTTTCTTCCTCTGCTAGCTAAGAAGGTGGGGGCTGGAAACACAGCCTGATTGCCTGTGACTGCTACCACCACCAAGGCCTGGCCCTCCAACTGCCTTTCTCCTTTGCAGTCACAAAATCTAAGTGCCCGTCCTATGTGGGAGTCACAGGAATCCTCTTGCAGGAGACAAAGCACATCTTCAAAATCACCACCAAAGAAGATCGTCTGAAAGGTGTGTGCTGTCCCTGGGGGCTGGGGCCTGTGGTACCTAGATACTCCACTGCCACCCTCTTCCTTTCCTGAAAGCTCCCAGGTTCCATGTGGCCTGTAGCATCAGCTAGGCAGCAGATACTGTATTCCAGCCTGCAGAGGCCTTGCCCCTGTGACTTTCCTAGGAGGCATTTGTGAGCCCTGTAAGGGGCTGTCCAGAGTTCATGGGACAGCACAGCTGCTTGGCTGTGCCTTGGACCCAGGTCTTTGGGGGGGCCTCTACCTGCCAAGGTCACCCCCCCTCCAGTGAGTAGAAACAGGCAGGAGGAACCAAAGTGGCCTTCCCTGGGATTCTGAGAATTGCAGTCTTGCTGGCCACACTTCGAGCTCTGACATGGTTAGTGCTGCTCCAGAAGGCACATAGGATGTTCTGGGATCCCACCTTGCCCACAAATCCAGAGATTCAAGCAACAGTTGGAGGATTTGTCCTCGTTCATTCATTCATGTGGTGCTGGGGTTTGGACTCAGAACCTCATGTGTGCTCTGCATATACTCTGCTCCTGAGCTACCTCCACGGTCCTATACTTTGGGGCTCCATTCTTCCTGCCTCCTCCCCATTTTCTTGAACAGTCTGCTTGCATTGTAAGCCTCAGGAAGTGGTGTAGAAGCTTCCCCACTGAGCACAAATCTAAGAACCAGTGCGAAAGCCAACTCTGCCAGTGGTCTGGGAGCCTCCGGTTCAGGGAGTTTGGTTAGCCACCTCAGAACCTAGAAATTAGCATTGACTTATATTTAGAATAGGATCAGCTGGCCTTAGAGCGGGGCACGTCTCCCTGGGCAGCTCCTCTCTGCTTTCCCCTCTCCCCCCATGCTCCTCGATTCCTGATCACTTATTTTTTAATACAAACATTTTATAAATAACATTCTACATAAAACTGAATGTAATGCTTGGGTTTTACCTCATCCCCCCCTTTTTTTTCTCTTTCAGTTATCCCCAAGCTAAACTGTGTGTTCACCATAGAAACTGATGACTTCATTTCCTACATTTACGGAAGCAAATTCCAGCTTCGGTCCAGTGAGCGGTCTGCCAAGAAGTTCAAAGCAAAGGGAACAATTGACCTGTGAACTTTTGATCTGTAGGCAGATGTTCATGGCAGCTGAGAATTGGAACCACCCTAAACACCCAGCTCTCAGTGAAGAACGTGTGGCTGTAGAGCAGAGAAAGCACTGGGTAGAGGTCACTGACAGTGCTGGAGGATGTGGGGTAGAGTCTGGCAGGGTGGTCTTAATGTAGCATTGGTCCCTGGGCAGGGAAAGCCTGGCAGAAAATACCGGGACTTAACCCTGGTTGATTTGAAGCGTGAGTCCATCAAGTTCTGTCTTTCATAGTTTTCTGTTTTCTGAATGTTCTGTGATGGATCATTTACTCAGATAATAAAACACACTAAAGGCATAAACAGGCTCAAATAAAAAAATTCCTATAGCTCAGCTGGGTTCAAAGGGAGCCACTGTGTGGCCCTCTCACACCACAGCCACTTCCATTTCTCATAGTGCTGTGCATCTTGCATCTGACTTTTTAATCATCTTACTCCAAACTCAGCTACTGTGTTTTGCCTTGCTGTACTCGCACAGATGAGTGGCAGGCTTGCTGGGTGGCCCGGCTCCTTCACTCAGAATGGGGCCAGATCTGTCTGTGGTTGTTGGCTATTGTTTGGGTACAGGTAAGTCAAACCTGTAAGTGTGCAGCTTCCTGAGTCCCTGGAGCTCCAGAGTTAGATCAACAGCATTTCTCTGGTCTAGCCTAGGAAAGCCAGCATCTCCAGCAGTGATGCCTTTGAGCATCTTAGTTCCATTTGGCTGTTGAAATATGGCTTTTCCACTATTATAAGGCCAAGTGAGGCCAGGGCCAGCATGAGAATGGGGAAGGGGCACCCCATGTGGGTGTCAGGAGATCCACATGGACTAAGCCTGCTTCAGAGGGAACAGCTGCCCCTTGCTTTTAAGAAGCAGTGTCTTGCTGACCAGCTCAGAAGCCTCCCCGGCATCATCACCTGCTCTCATCGGGAAGCGGCAGTCCTTCCAGCTTTGCTCCCTTGCAGTCTCCCACTCAGACTCCACACTGGAAAAGACACTGGGTGGAAGAGGAATAAGAGCTGACCTTACTTATGTAACAACAGAAATCCTGTCTGTATACCCCAAGTTCTACAGGAACCAGCCAGATCTGATTGTCATCAGGATGTCCTGAGAGCTCTCCCAGTCCCCTGACCCCCATGTCATTACTGAGTCATCACTGTGGAGCAGAGCACACATGTCCTCAGAGTGGAAGTCATCGTGGCTTCACAGACTGGGAGAGAAGAGCTGAGATCTGAACTAAGTAGCCCGGCTCTTCCCAGCAGGGCAGCCACTGGGAGGAAAGACTGCTGAAGTGTGCATGCGTTCCTTATTTGCCTGGATGTCCACCAAGGGACACTCTGTCACAGTGTAGAGTAGCTGCTGGTCTTCTAGCTGTCCAAACCTCCACAGATGCATACATTTCTGAGTGTGCCTGTGTATACCCACGCATTCATGGAAAAGGCGCCCGCCCAATGTTGTATAAATGCACAGCTGCTTCCCAGAAAAGTTGCTGGTACCACTTGCCAAGTGAAATCTGTTTTTCATTTGGCTCAGACTCAAGTTTTACTGAGTAGCTAAGGACTTCTTTCTCCCTCTCCCAAGGGAAAACTTGGTGTGCTGCTCACCTGCTGCAGAGCCCTGCTGGGAGCCTGTGTCTGAGATGTGCTGCTGTCACCAAGATCCACACCATACTCCCAGGAACCGGTCCTGACGAAACTGCACGGGCCACCGCAATGAGCATGACTAGCCAAGTCCCCACTGACTGACTCAGGACTTCACGGAGGTGGATGTGGTTCTTGGCAGTCTCACTCTCCTGTCTCGGAAGAGCAGGATTGTGGTAAAGATGGGGCTGCCCATAGACAGCCAACTCTACCATATGTAAACCGTGCACTACAGAAACTTGCACCCAGAGAAGGGCCAGAAAGGCCCATAGAAAGAACAGTAGACACCTTAGGACAGGACAGGACAGGACAGGGCTGCAGTGCCAGGAGACCCATAGCTCTCTCCAGGATATGGTTTGATTGGACTGCAAGCCAGCTCAACCTAATTGCTAGACCCTAAGCTTCTTTTCCCCTGGAGTTCATGAATTGTTTGTTCGGGAATATCAATCCAGAGCAGCACCTCACAGTATCCAGAATCCTATGATTGCACAAACTCCAACCTCCACTTTCTATCCGGGCCAGGCACAGTCTGGTTGGAGGAGATGTGTAGGGTAGTATGACAATTAATGTCAACTTGACTGCATTGAGAAGTGCTTAGAAAAACACACTTCTAGCCGGGCATGGTGGTGCACACCTTTAATCCCAGCCCTCAGGAGGCAGAGGCAGGTGGATCTCTGGGAGTTCAAGGCCAGCCTGGTCTCCATAACGAATTCAGGCCAGCTGGGACTACAGGGAGACCATCTCAAAAACAGCAAAGAAAAAAGAAAAAAAAAAAAAAAACACTTCTTTGTATGTGAGAGATTTCCAGAGAGGACTAACTGAGGGTTAATCCACCCTGAATGCAGGAGTTGGGTGGAACAAAAGAAAAAGTCTATTAGAACTGCTGCTTCCTGCCTGCCATGATGTGAGTTGTTCAGTACCCCCTCTATGCTGTGACAGCTGAGACCATGAGCAAAATAAATACTCAAGTCATTTATGCCAGCTGTTTCGTTACAGTGACAGAAAGTGACAAGTAGGCTGGGCAGAGTTGGGATATGGGAGTGCAGTCACACCCAGGTTCAGAGCAGGAACCCTCAAAACCATCATGGAGTGCCCAGGAAATCAGAAGGCTTGTAAAGGGTCTGCCCATTGGGCTCCCCACCAAGCAGGAGGAGATGTGAGAAGAGGGCATATGACCACCAGTCTCAGAGGAGATACCCGAGCCTGAGCCCAACTCACAAGTAGGAGGGAAGAGATGGTAGGAACTTCTAGAAACCATAAGGCAGAAAGTAGAATTCTGACCAACTAATCAACTCCTGAAATCTTTTGTGTTCAAGTCACCATCTGCCAAATGGGGCCATTTGACCCGATGAAGACTACCTAGAACAGGCTCTAGGACTTCCCTGCATCAGCATCGGTAGATGCATGCTGGCAGCAGGCCATCCTGGGCCCTTAAAGCTGCACCTTAGCCCTACTGAGTCAGACTACAGAAGTGGGATGCCAGCTGCTTCTACATTCACCAGGATTTAGGATAGTACACTCCAGGTGTTTGTGTTCAAGTCACCATCTGCCAAATGGGGCCATTTGACCCGATGAAGACTACCTAGAACAGGCTCTAGGACTTCCCTGCATCAGCATCGGTAGATGCATGCTGGCAGCAGGCAATCCTGGGCCCTTAAAGCTGCACCTTAGCCCTACTGAGTCAGACTACAGAAGTGGGATGCCAGCTGCTTCCACACTCACCAGAATTTAGGATAGTACACTCCAGGTGGTGTCTAGAGTCTCTTCCAGCCCTGATGTCTGGAGGATGATTTAAGATTTCAGACTCTTGGGCCAGTATTTTCTGGATGCTGGAAAAAAAATCCAGCTCTCTTGGGTTTGAAGAGAAAACATAAAAATTCTTCCAAAAAGCCATAAATTATGGTAAAAAGCTTATTTTCTGGACAGTGGCTCTAGCCATAATTTAGTTTGCATTTCTTAGTTATAATGTCTCATTAAGGCATCTGTTAAACATCTATACTATTAGTTTAATAGAGGGGGTTCTAATATAACTGTATTGGAATTGTCCATTTAATTAACCTCATGAGCCTTTAATAGATATCTTAAATAGACATCATTAACAAAAGCGCTAGACAAATTAAAAATTAAAGTCAATAACGTTCTTGGTAATTTTTCCTGAGCTGTGAAGGACGAGCATTGCTAAGCAGGCAGGCGCATAGATGGACCCCATAAGAGGAGGGATGAAGCTGTGGGGAATCGAGAATGGACAGGCCCCTATGGGTGCATCATTCTGTGTTCTGGGTGGTTTTACATATGAAAGATGCTCTCCAGCCATAGAGACAGAACTCAGGAGCAAAGGCCCTCCAGAAAGCATTTTCTCTCCTCAGGTTGAGAGGGGTGTGAAAGGGAAGAAGGAGGAGGAAAAGGGGAGGTTATGATATTGGACCATGGATCAGTCAGAGTGGAACTAACTAGGATAGGGCAGGCTGGTTAGAATGAGGGATAGAATGAGATGAGATGCAATGAGATGGAAAACACAGCATTGCTTTTACCTCCTCCGCACCACTTAGCTCACTCGATGCATCATCCCAAAGCCAGAGGCTGTCTCTCCATCGTCATCTCATTTGGCTTCATCAGCATTTTACTCATCCATAGCCCCACCCTGCTGACCTTGCCCAACTCCCTGGCCACTCCTTAGAGTTCTTTGATCGATCCTTGTAGTCCAGACTCATAACGTTCTGTTTACCCGAGCCCCGTCTTTGGACTTCTCTTCCACATCCCTTCAATGAGTGGTCACACCCAGAACTCCAGGTATACCTAAGACTCTCAAAATCATGTTGTCAACCACTTTGTTTATTGTCTTCCCCCCTGCCCCGAGTTGGACTATAAACTCTTTAAGAGGCTGTCTTTTATCACTCTGGCTCCCTAATTATCTAGAGAAAACTTGAACTGGGTGGCAGAGGCTCACTGAATGTTGGCGTGATAACACTACCCCTTGACCTCTTCACTTGGGTACATGGCAGGCTGCACACAGAACACCAAATAGTCTCATATCTTTGTAAAGTAACTCAGGTACAAGCAAGACTCAGGAGCCCTTGCTTTCTCTCTTTTGTTTAGGCCTCCACCCAACCTCTCATCAAGTCCTGCTGGGTTTCATGACTTGCTCACACAAGAACTCAGTTCCCCACTCCTCCCAGCTCTTCTCCCAACAGGCCCAGCTTCAACTTCATTCAGGCTACTCACCAACCACCCAGACCCAGACCCAGCCCTTTGATGGTTTCCCTGCCTCCACAGTTGGCCACAGACAATCAAGGTGACCTTTGGAACTTGAATAAGACTGTGCTACGCTTCCACTTAAAACCCACAAGTGACTTTCTCCTATGCTTAATGCTAAGTCAGGCTCCTGAACAGCACTGCCCAGGCCCTCTCCAACCCAGCTTAGCTCTGCTCCCCAGTACTCAGCCTGTCTATTCTAGATCTCCAAATCACCTCAGTTCCACTCACAGTGTTTGCAATTACTATTCCTTGTTTGTGAGACATTTTTCCCCTAGTCCCTAGTCAACATCTGCCTCTGTATTCAGCTCTCTACTCCTGGAAGGTTCCCTCTTGGGGCACACCCACCTTCCTAGCTCAACAACTCCTCCTCCACCAACCTCTACCATTTCAC